CTACAATGAACGAGCTTTCGTCGCATTAGGATCGTTACCGTGCGGTTTCCTTTACGAAGCCTGATCTTCAGGAAATTGTAATTGCAGAGCATCGACATAATTATGATATAAATATTATCTTACGTACATGGACGTACGATATTAAAAACGAAAAAAAAATAACGTGGTATAAAAATACCAGAAGGAAAGATATCAATTCGGTGTATTAATCCCCCCCCCCCAACTCTCATGGACGATCGATACAAATTCGCCTCAAACTGAACGACTCTTTCTACATTTGATGGCTATAAAATAAATGGCAAAAGAAACAGAAAAGTAAATGAAAAAAAAAAAAGAAAAAGAAACAGGAGAATAGAAAAGAACGAAAAATTCCATTACTTCCGGTTGATGCGAATTCGTTACGTCCATAGGAATGCGTTGACGCACATGTTGTTATCTAATTGTTAGTAGATTCAAGTTTATACCGGCAATTGTTAATAAAGTTAGTAAGCAAATATTTTCTTATTTTCCTTTTTTTCTTACACGAATTTCGCTCTCTTTTTTAACCTGTATATATAATTTTTATAAAACAAAAAAAAAAAAACACAAACTTCGTGAAATTCAAGATTTCTAAATATTTATATTGATGGCAATTAAATTTCTTTGTATAGATTATTACGATACGATGAGAATCAGAAATGGATTATGAATGGAAACATATATAAATTGAAAATTCTATTTCGTTGTGATAATAAGAAAAATAAGAAAATACGTTCTATCATCACGTTTTATTTGCTCTTAGCCGATTCATGGCGATTCAAGTTAATCAAGAAGAAGATGATGCCAATGAGAGAAGGGTACAGAAGAGAAAGAGAAAAGAGAACGAGCCGAAAATAAGAAGAAAGTGGCAGGCTGGTTGGTCCAGTGTTGTCACGTGACCGGAAGTGGCCTTTTCCCCACCCTTCAACTCCACCTTCGATGTGGAGACCTGTACGCGTTCCCCCCTTTTTCCTTCCTCTGGCTTCATCCGGTTAGCGATGGGTATTAAATTCCGTCCGCTGTAAGTTTTTGAATGAAAAACTTCGATAAAAATCTCCTTTTAATAGTCAGTAATGAATAATAATTTTTTAATATATTTATAAATTCATAGGTTTTTTTAATAATTCATAGAAGAGAGCAATTGTCAGAATATAATATATTCTTTAGAATATTAAATGGACTATTACAAATACAAAAAAAGGTATCACAATATTATTATTACTTTAGTTTAATTTTAATACAAACAGAAATAAAAATTGAATGGAATATTAAAATTATTATTTCTGAAATATCAAAATTTTAACAATATGAAAAAAAATTTTTTATTTTTTTTCTTTTTAATCTTTATCTTTTTAAAACTGAAGTGAAATTAGTAAAATTTGTATATTGAATTAGGAATAATTACATTGCTAATTAAATGCTTAACGTTTAAAATGATGAAAACTTTGTTAACAGTTCAAAGGGATTCAAAACGTGTTGAATCCATCACTATCTCCAGTTATTTATCCCTTCTTCTCCGCACGAACGAACACATTAACGAGGAAAGATTGGTCTGGCTTCCTTTTGCTTTACCTTTACGAATGATTCGATCACGTCCGAAGAAGTCAAAATTGGAAATATCTTTTAATCCTTTCACTTCCTTTTTAATAAAATTAGTTTATCCTTCTTAATTGAAATATCTTATGTTTCAATATATATATAAAAATATATAAAAATTAAATTTAGCGTTTTTTTTTGATATCTTTAGAAAAATAAAAAATTTGATCTGATTGAAATCGTAGATATAATCTAAAACATAGAGAGCTTTCTAATCTTACTCATTCTGTTATAATCCTTGAATTTTTATATCTCAAATTCTTTTCTTTAAATAATAAACAATCTTTTTATATCTTATATATAATTCAGAAAAATTTTGATACAAATTAGTGACAAGAAATTAAATAATATTCATAGTAGTGAATACAATTGAAATGAAAATGATTTTAATGTAAATTTAATAAAATGTAGTACTATTAAAATTTAAAAAGGCATTAGACCTTAAAGAGAAGAAGTTAAAATATTTCATTATACATTATAAAAAATAGAAACATAAAGAATAATATTTTAATTAAGAAGAATGTAATTCTATCCTTTGATTATTATATCAAGGATAAGCATATATATGACATAATAATTTTATAATATATGAATCAACTTAAAAATATTTACATTAGATATATTATGTAATATTTATTACATTGCTTTTAAAGACCAACAAAAATATTAAAGTGTGTTTTAGAAAGTTTTCCTCAGAGAAATTTTCAATTGCATTCGACTCGATGCATTCCGATAACGATATAAACGGGACGATAATGTCTTCAGTTTGATTTTGTGACACGATGACAATACCACTAAAAAGAAACAAGCGAAAGATAAACTTGTCACGTGACACAAACATGGACCTAATACAAGAAAGCACAAACTTATCACGTGACTCCACAAACTTCGACACGAGACACAAGAAAGTGTCTCCATTTATACCATTCATATCATTCATTTGTATCATTTGTATCATTCATATCATTCGGATAAACAATAGTCAAATTTAATCAGATTTAATTAAATCAGATTTTCTTATGATAGTTTTTTTCGCAGAAATATACCAAATCGTGGAATGCTAGAGTAGCAAATCGAACGCGCCACTCAACGAGAGTCAAATAGAAGCAGCCATTGTACGAATGCGTTCGAAGCGCATCGTCGCGGAAACGTAAAAATCTTAACCAATAATGCGGTCGAGGAAAGAATTGAGACTGATAGAGAGGTGTTCGTAGAATGCTTGCGATATTCCAAGAATTGCATGATATTTCTAGTGTCGTTCTATCAACATCATATTGATCATTATTCGTATATGTGGTAAGTAGGTGGAAAGGAGAATGGAATGAATATGTGCATAACACTCACGGACAAATCATCAATAAACTTTTCAAGAAAATCGATGGAGAGAGAATTTCAAGAAATTTTAAACACATTTCGATTTTTAATGACGTTTCGATCATGGTATTTGAAGTAACCAAATATTTTTATGAGATTTATTGAAGATAGAAGATTAAAACGAAAGTATTCGAAACGTTCACGATAGAATTATTGAGGTAAACTTGCACGAATTTATATAATTTATACGATTTCTTATAAAAAATAAAATAACTAGAATTAGAGATAAAATAAAACTAAAAAATTAGATGAAGAATATTAAAATTTTTCATAGGAAAAATATCAGGATAATAGATAGAAAAATTAAGAAATTTATGAAAAATGAATTATGAAAAAAACGAGAGAGAAAAATTTACGAGGCATCGTTATACAAATCTGATTTAATGTAGCAGATTATTTTATCCAAAGATAGTTTATAGAAATTTATTAACATTCGATTTTGAAAAAAAATATGAATTTAAAATGACAAATGCATAAAAACTTCTTATTACAGATTCTTATTTAAATCACAAAAAAAAATATTATATAAAATTAATCTTGATTCATTGAAATCACGATGGAATCGATCAAATTTCATTGATACATTCGAATGTTCGATCTCGAAAAAAAATATTGAAGATATATGTAAGTAGATTGACAACTTACATCCCTAACCTAAAAAATTGTTGTGTAATAATTTACGCGAATGTCTAATTACTAATAGTAGATGAAGTTTTAATTGAATTCGCATATAAGAAAGAGACGAAACGGGTTTTTATTTGATCTGATGCGATAAATGCGATAGCATGCAGTTAGCGGGGTTAGCGTGATGTTTTCGCGACAGGGTGTGCGAGTGTTCTATATTAAACTCGGCGAACGCTGGTAGGCCGATTGCGAAACGGACGGCTGATATTTTCGTTACATCGCACGAGTAACTGCTTCCGGCCGAGTATTCCCTCTCTCTCTTTCTCTCTCTTTCTCTTGCTCCCTTCCTCTCAGTCCCTCTGTATACGATGGGCGTCCTTCCACTCGCATCCTGCTTTTCCACTCGCTCACCCGCTGGCAGACTCTATTTTTCTCGCTTTGCTCGCTAGTTCTCTTATTCGCCAACTCGCTCTTCTCTCGCTTCATACCGCTCTCTCATCTGATCGTTCTCTTTCTCTCTTTTTTTCTTCCTTTTCTTCTTTTCTTTCTCCTCTCTTTCTATTCTCTCTCTTACTATTTCTTCGTTCTTGTGCTTGTAAGAGATCGGGTAGATGCCCGTGCTTCAGCCGGCCGGAAACACCTACGCATCATGGTAGCGTGCGAGGTGATGCTCAGCGATGGGAACGACCACCTCACGAGACTTCTTTCAACAGAGTTAAAAGAAAAATGTAATTCTCATTTCTTCTGCCGATAAATATATTGATATTCAATTTTCTATAAAATCATTATTAAAGTTATTAAAGTTTGATTTTACAATTATTTAAGTTAAACTTTGAATTTTTTTCTATGTATCTTTTTATATTTTCTGATAATATTCGGTGAATATTGATGAAATATACTGATTTTAACTATTAGAATCTGTATTGATTTGAAAACATATTATGCATATTTAAAATTTAATTATTTTTAGCGTAAGTTAGGTTAGATTAATATCGGCATCCTGGCATCCTTTCCTGGATGAGAGATTTTATGATGAATTTGAAAATCGACATTACATAAATATTTATTATATATTATATATTATTAACGATTTAGTGATCTAATTATTAATAAAATTGTTTTGAACATTTATAAAATTTTAAGTTTAGGAATAGATGAATTAAAAAATTATTTAACCTTAATCGGTATATTTCGTTTATATTTATTAAGTATATGTTATAAAATAAAAAAAAGTTAAAAGAAGTCCTTTATAACTAAAAATTATTTATTTATCAAGTAATTAAGTCATGCATTGTTTTCTATTAAATAAAAACTTTGTTTTATAAATTTTAAATATCACAAATATATTCATTTGTATTCTAATTTTCCTGTTTTTTTTCTGAGATTCTGAAAAAAAAATTCATTGAAAATTCATATCTAATTTTATATATTCATATTATATTTTATATATTATATATTATATATTCATATTTAATTTAAAACAAAACTATATCTAATTTCGATCTAATACATACCACATTGTTAATTGGTTGCAATCTTATATGCAATAATTCAATATTACTATTCGTGAATTAATGGTATTGAATTTGTAATAAATGCTATAATGAATTCTGCAAACGGATGTTGCTTCATCACTAATGAGAATTAGACAAACTGTATAGATAAAAGAAGACTATGAGACTTTATTTTCATTCTTAATAATTTTTTAAATAATTGATATATAAAAATAAAAAATAAACATTATCTTATATAATTTAATAATAATAATATAAATAATAGATAAAATTTGTATTTGAATAATATTTTAAATTTATAATGAATAGAAAAATGAAAGTAATTAGAAAAGTAATCGTATGAAAAAAAATTTAATGTATAAGTAGAAATTACTTTAAAAATAGATATATATAGTTATTTAATTTAAATCACTTATAATTCATTCTAATTAAGAATTATTATTTCGAAAGAATCTCAACACCGTCACTAGTTCTATCTAAATTTTTTTATTTTTTCTCCTGTCATGAAATTGAATAATTTTTGCACAAGTTTCTTTTGCACAAGTATATTGTCACGATACAAACCAATCAATTGATTGATTCGCTTCTTTTTTTTTCTATCTTCTTATTTCAATTAGAAAAGACTGTCCTTGTCATGTTTAGAAACTGTGATGTTTTTTTCGATTGATTTTTTTCAACATTAAGTATTAAATAAATTCAAAGAGATTTTTATTATTTTATATTTTATAATTTTATAATTTTTTTAAATATTTTTATTTTATTATTTTATATATAAAGCAATTTCTTGTAAATTATTTTTTTAAAAAGACGAATTATAATATATATTTGCATTATAATATACATTATATAAAAATAAAATTGATAATTTTTAAAAATTATAATTTATTCCAATATTACAATATATTTTTTTCTGTTCTTAGAATAATTTATATATATAAATTATTCTAAGAACAAAAATAGTAAATTTTTAATTTATTTCAAGGAAATTACTCTTAAATAATTTTTTTTGTTTTTTTATAAAAATATTCAATTTTTATTTCATGTTTTAATTATTCTCAAACTAAGAATAAAAATAATTAATTTTTATTTTTATTTAATTTAATTCACAAAAATTAAATATTACTACATGAAATCAATCTTTATTGCTTGACGAAATAACCTTGCCTTCGTGAAGAATGGAACGCGGGGGATTCGAGGAATGTGAGGTGCGTATAACAGGCGTGACCTTCCCAAGGTCAGACGATGTGTAAAGGAACAATGCACATGGGACTTGATCCGTGGTAGTCTGCGATACAATACTAGTAATAGCAATTACGATTGCAATCGAAGGAAATAATAAATATGTATTTGTTTCTTTGATTATTTAGCTATTCAGAAATATTTAATATCATTTGTTACTATCATTTGAAAAATTTTCATTAATATAAGTTTAAAATAAAAATTTAAAAATAAAAAAATTAAATTCTTTTTTATAAAATAATTTAAGAATATTAATTATTATTTTATAGCAATAAGATATTAATATTCTTATAATTTTATTTTTCACAATAAATTATAATATAATTTAAGAATATTAATTATTGTTTTAGCAATAAGATATTAATATTCTTATAATTTTATATTTTTCAACTTATAATTTATTTTTCAATTTATATTATTTATATTATTTATTTATTTATAGATTCATTATGATATGATGATTATGATTTAATTATAAATTGCATAGTTAATTTTTTATCTTTTCTTTATATTATTTTTGTTTAATAACAATTCAACGAATTAATTTTTTTATTTCAATTTATATTACATTTCACTTTTTTTTTAAATTAACATCTAATTAGATATTTAAATATGTTTCATATATCTTAAAATTGAATCAATGCTTAGATTTTTCACATTTTTAAATTGTACTAACAACGCCCGCTAGTGTCGAATATTGAAATTCACTAAAGATTCAATCTTAATAAGTGTTTTCTTATTGGTAACAGATAAAATTCTCCCGCCAAATCCGTAACAACATATTAAATCTATATGCGAATAAAAATATCTATTAATGTTAAATTTTGTAAATAATAATTAGATATAGTGAAATAAAAGTATTATTAATTTATATAATTAAAAAATTTATAACAACATTTATAACATTTATAACAAGCTAATATCAAAAATATTTATATTAAAAAAATTTTATATTTTATAAATGTCAGAAGAAGATTTATTTAATTGGACAGATTTACCAAAAGAAATTGAAGATGATTTTATTTCAATCAGAGGAGATTATGATTATCCATTATATTTATCCGAAAAAGAAGAATGGATTAATTATAAAAATATTGAAAACAAAGAAGGTATGTAAAAACATTAAAAATTATAATAAATAATATTTAAATATATTTAAATAATATTTAAATAATACAATATATATTAAACTTTAAATACATAATTACACATATATTATATAAATACAAAAAATTATTTTAGATAAAATAAAAGTTTATGGACCTTTTTTAATATGTGAATTGAATAGATTTGTACCTTATTTAGAAGGTAAAAATATAAAATTTCATCCTCTTAATATGCCTTATATCAGAATAGGAAAAATTAATATAATGGGATTTGTAATATGTGATTCTGAAGATGCTAAATGTTATCGATATCAAGGTAATGTAAAATAATCTAAATATCAAAATTTTTAGTATCATTTAATATTTTTATATAATATATATAATTTTAAAAACTTTATCATGTATAAATATTTGTAAGAAGTATTTTTTAGTTGATGATGGAACAGGAACCATCACTATTTTTTATGATAAAAAGTTTTTTGCAAAAAGTGTTGCACTAAGAAGAAAAATTGATAAAAAGTATCATAATTTATCAAATAATGTAAAAGAAAATATGAAAATATTAAAAAATCAAAAATGCCCAAAAAAATTTCCAAATCCAAGACCAAAATTTTTTTATCCTCCTAATACAAGTATACGTGATATGGCTGTAAGTAAGAAAAATTTGTTTTGAAACACAATATGAAAAAAAGAAGATATTAACATATACTTTTATTATATAGATTTTTGAATATAACTGGTCATTGGAAACAAATAATGGGACATTGGGTGAAGAGATACAACGTTGTAATTATATACATGCATTAGGTTATTGTACACTTGACTTTTTGCATAAAAATAAGCCGAAAACAGAAATTACATTTACAGATATATGCCATGCGAAAATAAATTTCATTGCAACTAGAATTATATGTTTAACTGAACAACAATATAATAAAAAGTTGCTTTCATGGATTTATAATAATGTCAGAAAACGGTATGATGAATATCTAAATGAATCCTTTTCCAAATCATAAAAAAATACAAATTTAGAAAGTTAATAATAAATTATAATACTATATATTTTTTAAGAAGTAGATTAAGGAAGAATTAATATGATATTCAATATGCCATCAAAAAGCGTTTATTTAAAATTAATGAATGCTTCATTCATATGTTTAATATTAAAAAAATTTTATCTATTAATTGAATAAGAAATTTATATTTTTTTGTTTTATATTATTCTAATGATTATGTAGCAACTTTTGCATTATTGTATTGTATTTAAAGTATAAGGATTTTCTTCTTTTAATAAATGCTCAATTGTAGATTATTTCAAATTGTAATATATTTACATATAAGTGTAAATTTTAAGTAACAGAATTATTTATATCATTTATGTTAGTTGTAGCTGCAGTATTATCAGCTACTGTATCATTAATCAATTTATTATTTGTGACTAGTTCTGGTTTATGTGAAACAATTATTAATTTATGATAATGATATCCAATTAAAGGCAAATATGGAGCTATTTCGCTTGGTTCTATAAAAAGTGATGGTGGAGCCTAAAAAAAAAGAAATAAAATCATATTAATTATTTTAATATCTTAACTCAAAAAAAAAATGAATATTATGATCAGTATTTACTAAAATTTAATTTAAATTATTATATAGCAATATTAAATTGCTTACACGTATTTCTTCAATTTTTGCTTCTCTTGATGTATATTCTCGCAACAAATAATCTTGACCAAATTCATGATAAAGCCGCGTATCATTTATCCTTAACATTACACCATCAATTCTCAGAAAATATCTCAATAAAATGAAAAAACTATTTGGCATAACTCGCTATTGACATCAGTAAATGAAATTAGAATGAATTCAATTATTTATTTTTCTTTTATACTATCATAAACTTACAATTTTTACAGAACAAACTGCAATACCATTATCATGAAGTTCATCTTCAAATAATGTTAAATCATGATAGAATAAGATCTTATCCCTTCTTTTTAATTTATCTACATCAATTCGTTCATTAGTTTCTTGAATTTCAAAATTAGATATTGTACCAGTGTAAGTGGTTGTAAATGTCCAATCAAATGGTTTTACTTTTTCTTCTAGATATTCACTAACATCAGATCTACTTATAAAATAATATTTTTAATATATATATATTCATAAAATTATATTTTTAATATATATATTCATAATAGCATATATAAATTTGTATAAATTAAATGTAATATATATATTTTTACCTGGATTCTTTCCAAGCTTCTGCACATGCTAATTGAACATTAATTTTTCCATTTGATACAGTTTTTAATGCATCTAATGCATTGAATTGTATGAATGCACCATCCTGATGTTTTAAAGTCAATATATTATTTGGAAATACCATATCTGGCATATGTGGTAGTTCTAAAGTATGGCTAAAACTACAAAAGTATTTATTATGTAATATGAATTTATTATAATTTTATAAATAACCAAATTTATTTAATATACATGCAAAATTGACAGGCATCAGCATCTTTATCACCACAACCACTTTCATTTTTGGAACATTTAGAATGGAGTATATGCGATTGTGTATATTTAATATGCCATGGTGGAAATACATGTTCTTCTTGATTAACAGGAAGTCTTAAGATATCAATTCCACCATGAACTTTCACTGCTGTCATGATCTAAAATTATATATACATATATCAATAATAAATATATTAACATTGAGATAAATATAAAAATTTCTTTTCAAAGATATTCATCAAAACATTATGATTATAAATATCAATATAATATTAAAAAAAATGTAGTTAAATAATAAAAAATTTACTATAGTCAATTAAATAATAATTAATAAAAGTAAAATAGCATACTGCTTCATTAATGTAATAAACGACACATTTTTTCGTTACGTTTTAACTATAAATTTTAACATTTTTATTATATTGTTACTCAATATTAAAAATTATGCACTTTCATATTTTTTTTACTTAATAGTTGATTTGTTTTAAATTTATTTTACTGTTATTGATAACATTTTATAACCTGTCACATACAATTTATAAGATATACTCACAAAAACTAATTATTCAACTCTTAATATTTATTTTCAAATAACATCATAAATATTATTTCAATTATCTAGTATTCACTATTATTTTTATATAAATTTTTATTCTTTTTTGTTATTGTAAATTTTATTTGAGTGTAATCATAGTCTGATCATAATTCTTCATTACCGACTGTGCATAGAATGCAATTGCTTTTTTATAAAAATCTATATTCTTTATACTTATTTCCTAATTATACATAATTTTCATTTACGTATAATTAAAAAATAATGTTTCAATATAATATTACTAATATACATAATTCAACTTAAATTGGAAAATATTTTTTAATTTTAAGAAATATACATATCATAATAAATTATTATAAATGATATAAAAAAATTAAAGATTTCGAAACATCAAAAATTAATTAAAATATTTTTTTTGTAAAATGTTTATCCAAAAAATAAAATATTATAGATAATATAATAAAATTTATAATAAATTAGAATGAATTTAATAAATATAATGCAAGTATGGAAAAAGATGTGATAATGAGCAAATTTTAGATATCACTTAATAAAATAATAATTATCTCGTTTGACAAAAATGAATTCTGGCTGAAATTTTATGACTACAGTTTCTTCGCTCTTCTATACAGAAATAACTGATGTGATTGTAGAAGATTCAGGCGAAACCAATCAGTTCTTCTTGAGTATAGGAGGCAGTTACATGTTCTCTAAACGTGTGCATTTAAGTTTAGTATGTCGATCAAAAAGTCAAATTTATCTGTGGGATTTACCCAAGAAAATGTTGAACGAGTTATAGAAGAAAAAAGATTTTCTCGAAAGGAATATTTACAAAATATTAAATCAATCGCTGGTCATGTTGGACTTTTAATTGCATTAATGCTTTATACAGCAATTGGTGGTTTGGTAAATTAAATTTTAAATATATATATTTTTAAAGTAAAAAAAAAAAAAATGAATTAGATATACTTATTTTATTTTTTACTATTTTTTTTCATATTAAATCTAATAGATATAAATTGATGGATAACAATTTTTTTCAAATGATGAGAAAATTGCGTTAAAATCTTATAAATAATTTAAAAATGATATACAAAAAATATACAAATATATTTGAACGAAAAACGTTATTTAATTAATTATTATTAAATACCATCCATCTGAACTCAAATTTCCATTTATTTTCCATTTATTTACGCAAGTTTAAATAGAATGTAATATTTATAGAAATAACAACGTGAATCTGTATTTCCATGTGGTATCTTTATTTTTAGCAATTGACCAATCGTACAGTACGATTAATTTTTTTTGTTAAATATTTGTGTGTGCGTATATATATATATATATATAGACACACACATACATATTATATTATTAAATTATATTCTTTTAAATTAATTGATTCGTTAAAAATATATTATCATTAAAAATATATTAATATAAGATAATTTTTTTTTATAGAATAAAATAACGATATTAATAACGATAAAATAATGATATTATTGAATTGTAAACTAAACATGCATCCAGAATACATAAAATGAAATTAAAAAACGATTCACTTGAGATTCAAAAGATTTACAAACACTCGTATTAAATATCATTAGTAATAAATAACGTCATTTCTAAAATTTAGAACTAAGATAATATCAGAATACAAAAATATCATATGAATTCGTTTAAATTTAAAAATTATTATATTAATCTTCATTGATAGGTTTTTCGATATATTGAACTTCCTGCAGAATTATCACGTTTGGAAACTTTGCGCGCCAATTTACGCGTTCATAGATATTCATTCGTTGATTCGGTTTCCAACAATAGTGATGTGTCAAATTTGCGCAGGCTGGTAAGTCAATATCTTGAGCATCAATGATATCCTTGAATTTTGATTCGAAAAAATATTCATCTTATGAATATGATTAAAATCGAATCGATCTTTGAAAATATACCAACAGTCTTTGAATAATTATAAAGAGTGGAATGACAAAGAATATTTACAGGTTAGCGTGAAATTACGTGAATATGAACAAGTGGTCCAGGAGGCAGCACAAAGCGGTTTGTTGATCACTTTCGTATCTGATACGATCGATCAAGAAAATCGAGATACAACGGATTTGCCTCCTATTGTAATTGAAAGATGGAGTATTCTTCAAGCTGTTTTTTTTGCAAGCACTGTTCTCACTACGATCGGTAAATTAATAATAAATGAATAATAACGAATAATAATTAAATATCTAATTTTTAGATTTAAATTTATATCTATTAAAGTATTTGCATATTATGATTTCTTAATACGTATTTAATATTTTGATATTTATTTTTTTTCTCTTTTTGTTATTTTAAGGATATGGGAATGTTGTTCCATCAACTAATGGAGGAAGGATGTTCTGTATTTTGTTTGCTTTCGTTGGTATACCTTTGACTTTAATAGTAATAGCTGATTTGGGAAAACTGTTTGCCAAAGGTGTAGTTAAGATCGCTTTGGCAATGAAATCAAAACTTCCGGTACACTTTTCCTTCTCTTGCATTCCGATGAATTTAGCTGGAAGACGATCGCTCGGTTAGTTTAATCAACTTGTTCAATTACATAAAATTAATATATTCGAAATCATAATTAATTTTATATTCAAATATTCATGATTCAAATATCAAATAATATAATTATATCATTATCATATTTTTTATAATATAAATTAATTTATAAATATTTGCATCAAAAGAAAATATTTATAATCGATTATATATATTTTATCGTACGTGATTTTTATATAGGAGCATTTGCTGCAATTGTCTTGCTTTTTTTGTATCTCGCTTGTGGGGCAGGTATGTTTATGTTATGGGAAGACGACTGGAATTTTTTTGATGGATTTTATTTTTGTTTCGTGACGATGACCACGATAGGATTCGGTGATTTAGTACCAAGTAAGTATTAAAATATATATTACTTAAATCATATCACTTTGAACAGTTTTTAGAATATCATATAATTACTATTGTATTGTATTTTTT